GTTGGGCTGGCTGGTGTGCCCTGAAGGGTGTCCTGGATCAGGGTGGGGGTCCCCACTGGGGTGCCTGGCCAGTCTGGGTGAGGGGATGATGACTATTTGCAGCTGGTCACACACCATTCACGGTAGGGGTCCCTACTGGGGTGCCTGGCCAGTCTGGTTGAGGGGCTTAGGGCTGTTTTCAGGGTGGGGGTGACTGAAGCTCCCAACCGCTCCTTTTTTTCTTTTTGATTCTCGGCCAGCTTTAGCTTTGAGTCTTGGCTCCAGCTCTTAGGCCTCCGCTGCTGAAAGTAGGTTTCTGGCCTTTGCATACAATGTTGCGATCCTGCTGGCTGAAGTCCAGCGGTATTTGTTACAATGTTTGAAACTGCAGGCTCAGAGGCCTGCAGCCGCAGGCGGGGAACGTTGGTTTCCTCCGTCACTGAGGCAAGCAAGCCTCATGTTAGTTTCAAGCTGCCTGGCTGTCGGTCGCCATCTTGGCTGACAGTTAATTTGCATATCTCTCTGATTAGCCAATGAAAAGGGTAGCGGTCGTACGCCAATTACCATGTTTCTCTTTTGTTAGTGTAGATAACACCTATAAACAATTAGTGTAATGCCTGATACATTATAAGCACTCAAATATTAACGTGCTTGTTATCTTTGTGTCAACTATTGCATTTATTAGGTGTGTGTGGGGGGTGTGGGTGGGGCAGATAATATTGAGAATATCTCTATCCCGGTACAGTGGTGGAGGCAGATATGATATTGTATTTCCTGATATGAATAAAATACAGTGTGATAAGTGATGGTAGTCCAGTGAGGACCAAAGAGCCTCTCCTAAATGTTAGTGCTTTTAGAAGTGAATCTGCAGAGCTTTTCTGGTGTGGCCATGTTCTTTCTCCGTCTTGGCTTCCCATTTGAATTATTAAAAAAAGAAAAAAAGAATCACACTTGATAAAAGATGAGCGGTGATCAGATCCCACCATAGGCCTGGATCTGCTGCCAGGACATGGTTTTTATTTTTAAAAATTTCCCAGATGATTCTAATGTGTAACCATGAGTCAGGAGACAAAGCTTTAGGTATTTTCTCCTTTGCTTTCTCTTTGGGATTTTCCAAATATGGTACCCTATAGCACCATAGGGTAATTCTTTTCTTTACTCTTGACTTTTGAAAGTTATGTAACAGCAGCCATATAGAGTTTTAGAATTTATGAAATGCTTTATGATTTGAAGTGCCACAATAATCTTTTTAGAAAAATATACCCATCACCATTTTGCAGAAAAGATACCCAGGGCTCAGAGAAATGCTAAGTAAAAAGTGGAAAGAAGACTTGAACTCAGGTGTTTAGGACCCAGTCTTTGTGTTTCTATTGCATTTCTAGTGGAAACTTCCAACCACTGTCACATACTTGGGAGTCTTCTCTTGTTGCTCTGTTTTGTGCCTGTACAGCTTTATGATCTGTTGGGAAGTCTTTGCTCCTTGATCATCTCACTGAACCACTTGTCGTAGTTTCTTTTTTATATTTCATTTTTTATCCCAGCTCTAATGCTCTTGACCATACTCCACCCTTAGTTATAATTTCTTGAAATGGAGTAATCCTTTGTCAACCTTTTTAGACAAGATATGTGCCTTTTCCTGGTCTATATTCCAAGCAGTGAATTTCTGTCACCAAGTCTTTGTGGTGCATGCAAGTTTGTTTAATGTCCAAAGTTAGTTTTACAACAGTGCACATAGCTCTTGCTTTCCACATCTGTTTAGTTCCTGAATTTGGTTCATGAGAACTTGGCTACAGGGATATCTCGATTTGAGTTACCCTGTGGTAGGCCCTTGTGTCTATAAAGGTCGAGGAACTCTGTACCAGAAATAACTCATTTTTTCTTTCTTTTTTTTAAATAAAACATCCAACATTTTGTAACTGTCTTTTAAAAAAAATCAGATATCTTCTTACTGATTTTAGAGAGGGGGAGGGAAAAAGAGAGGAAGAGAAGCATGAATTGGCTGCCCTCCTGCACACCCCCTACTGGAGACCAAGCTGCAACCTGGGCACATGCCCTGACCAGGAATCAAACCCGTGGTCTCCTGGTGCATGGGACTACATTAAACCAACTGAGCCACACTGGCCGGGCTCCCTGTGGTTTCTTGACTCCCACTACTTTTCTTTCTCCTATAACAGTGGTCGGCAAACTGCGGCTGGCGAGTGACATGCGGCTGTTTGGTCCCTTGAGTGTGGCTCTCCAGCCGCAGTTTGCTGACCACTGTCCTATAACATACTAAGGGTGGTTATTAGATTATTTTATAATTTGTTTTGCCTGGGGCTAAAGGGAAGCCCCTTGGGTACCTGCAGCAGGAAGATGTCACCATTGTGAAGGGGCAGAAAGAGGAGCCTGTGTTTGTGTATGTTCCGTGAGGTCTTCTGTAAGCTTTCCTTCAGTTTGTGATGTAGTGATGAGGGCGAGGTTGACCCAGAGCAGTTTTGCCCCAGTTGCAGAGGGTTGTGGGAGTCCCTGTGGCCTGTTTAACCGCGCCCAACAACAATCCTGCTGAGCGGCCTGAGCACAGCGCCTGGGACACAGTGATTGGTGGGTAAGTGCTGGGTGAGCTGAGGTGACAGTGGCAGGAAGCATAAATGAAGTTGAATGCAAGCCTGATAAAGAGCTTATATTGTTTCCACCCTGAAATCTGATGACACTGTCCCTAAGTATTTGCTCTGACACTGAATGAAGCACTGAGTTTCAGCTCATCTGTTTCTTGGGATGCAGATGCTGAGGACTCCCTGCTCCCTCACGGGAAGTAGAGGAGGGGGTCCCGAGCAGAAGCTGGCCATGCTTCTGGCAACTTGTGTACCCCGCTGTGCGCCACGATCCTTGTTTCTACCCCTGCTGTACCCAAGACTCCTCTTGGCAGTTGTCCTCCGCTTCCTCCACAAACAAACAATTCAAATCAAACTTCCCACCTTCCTGCCTAACTTCTCTGAACCATTACATCGCCTTACCTCCGTTCCTGTCTCTCCCACCTCCTTTCTAAGGCAGTTTGCCTATTCTGAATCCCTCCTTCTCCCCTGACTGAAGAATCGTCTTTCTTGTCTTGGCCAGGTGGCTCGGTTGGTTGGTGGGTTGTCCCACACACCAAAAGGTGGCATGTTTGATTCCTGGTCGGGGCACCTCCCTGGATTGCAGGTTTGGATCCCTGGTCAGAGCGTGTGCAGGAAGCAACCAATCGATGTTTCTCACATTGAAGTTTCTCTCCTATTCTCTCTCTCTAAAACCAATAAAAAAAAAAAAAGAAAGAAAGAAAAAGAAAAAGCAAAAGCATTGCCTTTCTTCAGGTGTCTGCTTTCTGTTAGCGTCTGCCCTCACCATATAGGTGCCTCTGCTGTGTCAGTCAGGCCCCCCTCTAGGTAGTCACAGCGTCTTTTCTCCTGCCTTTTATAAGGAGGCTTCTTGGATGCGAAGAGTGGTCTTCTTTCACCCTCTCTGTTTGCTTTACTGAAATTGCACAGGCAGCCAACCTCTTGATTTGCTATTCCAAAGGCCCTGTCTCAGTGCCTGTCTTGACTTTTCTGCAGAAGTTTACATTGTTGCTTTCATCCCCTGGAGTTTTCTCCTCCCTCTGCCTGTGTTCTGCCACTCTCTTATCTTCTTGGCTTCTTTTCTGTGACTTGTACCTTCTATGCTGGCATTCTTCAAGATTCTGTCCTGGCTGGGTTATTGCCTCTATGCTCTCGGGATAGGTGTGTGCTTCTCTGATTTAACTTCCAGCTCAGGTGTCTTTCCTGAGCACCACACTTAACCTCACTTGGGATCCTGCCAAAGCGCTGCAGTCTTCTGCTGTTCCTGACATCATTGTCCGCCTAAGTCAGACACTAAAAACGTGGTGTCTCCCGAAATCCAGTGCCACCAGTCACCTGTTTCTCTTCCATCCTGAGTCACTGTGGCTAGTGCTGATGTTTTTTCTTGAACTGTTTTCCTTTACTAGGAAATCTTCTCTTTTGTAGCTCACCCTCTTCCATTGTCCATACCAATGGCTCTGGTTTTGATTCTCCTAAAGGAGAACATAAGGCCACAAACCAAGTCATTTCAAAATTAAGGAAGATATCAAGTGTAGAAACTGCTACAGGGAGATTGAGTAGGTGAGGGCTAAGAAAGAAGAAATGGATTTGGTGATTGGGTGGCACCTGGCCTCGGGGGGAGGTTTTGTCCTGTGGTGAAGACTTTCCCCCACACTGAGTGAACTCCGGGTGTGTATAGCCATCTCCTTTGTGTACTGCTTTCCGAGATGGCACCCAGGGGGCATCCTTGTTGGTCTTCAGGGTCCTTCCTTTCCCTTGCTCACTTCAGTCAGTAGTAAGTTTTGCCCGTGCCACCTCAATATACTCTCATTTTTGTCCTTTTGAGTTTTTTCTCCCTAAATTGGAATCTTTGTAAGTCATCTTTATGTTTCATTGATATCTACTAGTAATTGACCATCAAGTTGTGATGCTTCTTTTTCATAATCAAATTAAAAATCTATCCCCTTTAAATCTCTGTCACGATTATCTTTATTGGAAAAATATAATGGACAGCTTTTATTTCTTTGGCTTACTTTATCATTCTTCAGCTTTGAATACTATTGGTCACTTTCTGCATGACTCTCTTCTCTTGACTCTTGGGTCTCCTGTCTCCTGATTTTTTTGCCACATCTTTGCTGACTTTTTTGGTCTTATTTGAGGGCCCCTAAATATAGGTGTCCTCTGGGTGCCATGTCATGAGTATGTCTGAGTGATCAGACGTACTCATGGTTTTAACTACCACTGATCTGTTGATTTCCAAGTCTTGTCCTTAGCACAGACTTCCATGGAGCCCAGATCTGTATTTTTCACTTGTTCACCAGATACTTCTACTGGGAGGTTCCACAGAACTGCAAGTGCAGTGGATTCGAAAGGGAACTCATCACCCTCTTTCCCAGACTTCTTCCTTTTTTATTTTGTCTTGAGGAAAGTACCATCAGTTGAGCATCATCCAGATAAGACACCTGGGTGACACTAATGCCTCCTTCCTCACTTTCCACATCCATTAGCTCACAAATTCTGTTGATTCTACTGCTTCAATTTCGAAATCTCTCAGACTTGGCCTCACATTTCTGCCCTCACTGCTTTAGCTTACCAGTGGTTCTCAACCTTACTAATGCTGCGACCCTTCAATGCAGTTCCTCATGTTGTGGTGACCCCCAATTTCATTGTTACAAATTGAACGTAATTAAAGCATAGTGCTTAATCACAAAAACAATATGTAATTATATATGTGTTTTCCGATGACCTTAGGCGACCCCTGTGAAAGGGTTGTTTGACCCCCAAAGGGGTCATGACCCACAGTTTGAGAACCGCTGTCTTAGACCCTCATTATCTCATGCCTCCTCATTTCATTTGTCTCCGAACTGCTCTTGCTTTGTGTAGTTGTCTCCCTATTGTACAAGTCCAATATTCATTGTTAAAATTTGAGTGCTTAATTACTCATTTACATGTGAAATGTTTTGCATGTGTTCTCACTGAACCATCACACTAAATCGTTATTGTCCTTTTCACTTTGGAGGGGAGTTAGCCCAGACCTCACACATAATAAGCGGCGGGACAGAGATTTGAACCGAGGCTACATGCTCCAGAGCCCATGATCTTATTTCATTCAGTTCAGCTGCAGCCTTTCCCTGGCTATCCTCTCCCATATTCAAGTCTTTGAAAGCAAGTCACTATCATAGCCCATTCTCAAGGTCCAACTCCTGGAGGGGCATTAGTGACATAAACTATTTGGAATTCTAAGATCCGTCTCTCCCTCCCATGTATTTACTCAATGTTTATGTGATGTAGACTTGTTTATTTTATACTTTGGTTACTTAGGTAACCAATTCTCTTTTTTTTACTAAAGTGTAATTGACATAACATTTTGGTGGTTTCAGGTGTACAAAGTAACAATATGGTAATTGTAAAACTTCTTGTTTTTAAGATGTTCAAGTAATCACCTGTTTTTTGCTATGAAAAGGTCTGATGAGTGAATATCCTCTTAGATGTCATAACTATTTTGATGGTTTCCTTTAGCTATATTCCTTAAAGTGGGATTCCTGGGTAGGCACATTGAAGTCTTTGATGCATGTTCCTGGGATGGGTTTTACATTGAGTACCTGTCTTTCTGTTGTTTTTAGCACCTGTTTTTACATTGGTCTTTCTGGGAAGTCCTCTACAACCCCTGAGAGCTTGCATCCATCCCTCTTTGGGATTATGAGCAGTTTATCGTAGAGCCAGGACTTACGCTCTTCGTGCTGGTTTATGTACCTTTCTAGAGTATTGTGTCAAAGAATGCACTGCAGTACCGGGGGAACTCCCAGCACGACGCCCAGGAGTTTCTGTTGTGGCTTTTGGACCGAGTTCACGAAGACCTCAATCATGCTGTGAAGCAGAGCGGCCAGCCTCCTGTGAAGGTGAGGGTGCCCCGCCCAGCAGCCCGGGAGCGGAAGCCCAGGGTCCATTCTCCCAAACCTCTCAGGAGCCGTTGCAGTTTGCACTTACTTGCTGTAGTGACATTGTGTAAGCGCTAGGTGAGTATAAAATCCATGGATACTTAGAGGATTTCTCCACATTGACTACTGTGTTGGGAGTGTGAGATGCCAGAGGCACTGTCCCCCGAGCTTACAGTCTAATGAGAGGGGACGCATTTGCTTCTATGACTAACTTTAGACTAAAATTAGGTGGTTCCTTCTCACTAAACTGTTATTAAAGCAAACACCTGCCTTCTAGTCCAGTGAGACCCATAGCCTGTAGGTCGCTGGAATGGACACAGTCAAACAGGAAACGGGTGATGTCTGTTGTTAGGATTGGACTCAAGTGTAGGAACTGAACTGCCAGAGTATTCATACTGAGAAAGAGTGATTTATCCTCAGTTTTCATGCATGTAGCCTTACTATGATGGGTCACATTATGATTTTTATAATGGAAGTAATTAAGATAAAGAGTTGCCTTTCTCTTGCAGCTTTTAAAATTTTTGATAATTCTGCTCAGTACCTCAAAATTTAAATTTCTTGTTTTGGTAAGCCCTCTGCAGTGCTCTCTACACGTAATAGCAGGTACTCAGTGACTCTTAGTGGAGAGACATAGAAAGGTTAGTGAAATATGAAGGAGAGTGATTAAGCACCAAAATCAGCAGCTAGTATGTGCTAGAGAACTTAGTGGTTGGGATTAATTTCCTGGAAGAGGTTAGAGCAGGACATCAAGAGTTGGAAGGAGATTGGAGTGTCCTAGGGAGGAACCGCCTGGATGGGGTGGAGAGATGGAGATGTGTGAGAGAGCCTGTGAAGAGATGAGTTCTTGTGACCCACGGCCCGGCTGCTGTGTTCTGGTTCCTTTAGCAGATACCTTTCACTGGAACATCTGGACCTGATGCATAGAATGTATAAGAAGTCAGGGACATTTATGACACTTTCAGAGTCATCTTCAGTCAATAATTGGTACTTTCAGTCTGTGAAATTGTACTTTCTTCTTTTAAGCCACCATCAGAGTCTGATATGATGCCTGAGGGACCATCTTTTCCTGTCTGTAGCACTTTTGTACAAGAACTTTTTCAAGCCCAATACAGGTATGAGCAAATTAAATTTCCTTTATGTTGCCTGCTTCTGTGGTTGTAGGTGATCTTAATGTGGGTATCCTACATTTTGTTTTTTGAAGATCCTCCCTGACATGTCCTCATTGTCAGAAGCAGAGCAACACTTTTGACCCTTTCCTCTGCATTTCTTTGCCAATCCCTCTACCCTACACAAGGTAAGAGCAGATTTACTAAAATTAAGGTGGCACATTACTCTGTGTTCCTTTTCCTTTGAAGGCTCCTAGTAGGTCTTCTTACTTACTTAGACAAGTAATGGGATTAATGATACGTTACATACAAGCATTGTTAAAACCTTACAGAAATTTATGAATGCCTTTCTGAGTTTGCAGGGTGCATGGACAGGTGTGTCTGTCCACTTGGTCATCCATCCACAGCGTGGGGAAAGGGGAAGGTTGTTGAGTGCCTTCTAGATTCTTTAGGCCCCCACATTGCACTTTTAGTTAATTGCTTTATTTGAACTGTTTCTCAAAATTTCCAGGAGTTACACCGTTTTAAGGGAAACACAAAGCACAGAACCAAGTATTGATATGTTATACTGTTGTTTTTTGAAGCTTACCTTTTCCAGAGACCTCTTAATTATTGTTGGAGAGTTTTACTTAGGCCCAAATGAGTTTTTCTATTGACTTCTAAATAAAGGTGTGGGTTAGCTTCAGTTTTACATTGATTTCCAATCAGGTTTGTCTTGCTTCTATATTTTAGTTGAAATAAGCAACTAATAAGAAGATCTGACTTTGATCTGTACAGGCCTCTCTATGTCACCGTAGTGTACCAAGGAAAGTGTTCTCACTGCATGCGGATTGGCGTGGCTGTGCCTCTGTCGGGGACTGTCGCCAGACTTCGGGAAGCAGTGTCTCTGGAAACAAAGATCCCCACTGACCAGGTAGTCCGCCTGCTCACACTGACTGCACAAGGAGCCCCGGAGGGGTGGCTTTCTGTTCGGGAATTTTTTAACGGTTCTCTGCCAAGTATGGTTAGATAGAAGTGTCAAACCAGTTGTTTCTGTGGTGAGGAAAAGGGAAATTAAGACCCAGAGGAGAAAAATGTACAATAAGACCTTTTCATGTTTCTTTAACTGTGGATACATTTTTAAAAGGAAAAGCTGTGACTTTATGTATAATTACTTAACCCTCTTGAATCATCCGGTGGAGGCTTATGTGGGAAGAACATCCCTGTGGTATTTGAAAGCCAAAGAGGCTTAGAGAGCCTGAGCAGTGGCTCTTGATAACCCCTTGCCATCATGTGATTAGAATGGGCGTCTGGCTCGTTCCTGCACATAGATGCTCAGTTCTGTTTGTTCTCTGGTTAGAGCCGGACCAATCTCTTACCTTGTTTAGATAAGAAAAAGGAAGTTGTGCATCCCTTTCATTTTTGGGTAAATTTTTTGTATTTTAATTGGTCCAAAATATGTTTGGCCTGTTTGTGGCGTGACATATTTTTGCACACATTCTTTATTCAGTTCACTGTTACGATTTTATTTGGAAAAACATTCCCTAATGGGGTTTACTAAGGCAAAATGAGTCAGTGGCTGAGTAGCTGCTCCCTAGATCACTTCAGGAAGCTGCCATACTCGCATAGGAAAGCTGTTACGTACTTGGGCTGCAGACAGCCTCATTTCGGAAGTCATCACAGTAAAACAAACAGTAGTGCTGCCCTAAGAAGCAAATGTCACACATTTTCGTAGACCGGTACTGGCACGTTCATAAAGTGTTCACATTTTTCCTTACACTTAAGAGCGCGTTGATTCGCTTTTTTCCTTCAGGATAAGGGGAAAGGCAGAGAGGAGGGAGGCGTAGGTGTGTGTCCAGGCAAATCTGTTGTCTCTTTACAGCTCTCAGTCCTGTCTGGTTCTTTTTGCATGTGGTTTGAATGAGTGATAGAATTACAAGTTTTTTTTGACCTCATTGTTCTTGCTGGAGAAAGTGACTTATGATTACATGTTCGCCTGCAGAAAAACAATGTGGTCATTAAATCATAGACAGAACATAGGTCAGGAGTATTTTCCTTGGACTGTTCGTGGACTCAGCCACTCCCCCCCTTCACCTCATAGACTCATTATGTTTGTGTTCGTAAAGGAAACCAAAGGGGTCCAGTCCAAACCCTTCATTGGAAGGAGGCTCAGAAAAAACATGTGACTTGTTCAAGGTCACAGGGCTGGTTGGTGACAGGCCGGGACTGGAACCTCCTCATGCCCCATCCAGTGCTTTTCCACTAGACAGTGCTGCTGAGCATGTAACAGAGCCCTGAATGTCACCATTGTTTACCATCTTTTGTTTTTCTGTGTTACTGTGCAATACTCAGCCATTTCAGAAACAAAACTTATATAAAGTATCTGAGAACTAGGGGTTACTAACTTTAACATTATGCTATAAATTCATTCCTGTTTTTTCCTGTGCATATACTACATTTATCATTTTATAAAAATGAACTCATTGTTCTTTACCTTCTTATTTACTTAGGAGATTTTTTCATGTTAATGCAGTTATTTATAGCTCATTCTTTGTAATAGCCTTCTAATTCAAGTAGGGCTATAACAGTGGTCGGCAAACTCATTAGTCAACAGAGCCAAATATCAACAGTACAACAATTGAAATTTCTTTTGAGAGCCAAATTTTTTAAACTTAAACTATATAGGTAGGTACATTCAACTTTAAATTCACAGTTTTCATCTTCCATTTTTCTTTGCTGCTTCTTTGTAGCCATCTCAAACAGGGCACCTAAAAAAATGTTTCATTTTATAATAAAATGAAAGCCACCAACACAAAAGAATTACAATTCTTAAATTGATGACAAAAATACCTGTAGGATTTGGAACTGGTTGGAAAAATACAAGTAACTTTTTGCTTCAAGTAGGTACTTTTGCGATTTGCGGACGCGACTAGCACTAACCACTGCACAATGAGACTGCTAACTGACTGGCTCACTCAACCCATGCATGAATTGCACGCGCCACCCCCCGCACTGCGTATCCCGCAGCCCACCTGCGCCACGTCTCCCGTCATCTGACCCGTGCATGAATTGCACACGCCACCCCCCGCACTGCGTATCCCGCGGCCCACCTGCGCCACGTCTCCCGTCATCTGACCGACCGACACCCCCCACTTCTTCTAACGCCACTTCTTCAAAATAGACTTGCCCAGGCTGAAAACCGACTTTTGTGCATGGGCCTCAAAGTTTCAATCGCACTATACGTGCACGCCCGCATGTGGAAGAGCCACACTCAAGGGGCCAAAGAGCCGCATGTGGCTCGCGAGCCGCAGTTTGCCGACCACTGGGATATAATATATTTAACTAGTTCCTCTTGTTGGACATTTGAGTTGATTTAAATTTTTCCCTAATACAAATATTGATGGTTATTTGACATTTTTTAACCTGGAAAGAAGAAAATTTAATGATGTAGGAGTCAGTCTTGGAGCCAGATGTGGACTCTGTCATTGTCAGAGATTGAATATTGGTATAACCTCAGTCAGGTCACTGCCTTCTCTAGTTTCTTCCCCGTGAAATGGGTACCTCTCATCTCCTGGGTCTCTTCTCCACCAGAACTCAGAGGAACTCTGGATTTAGTGCCATCACATTCTGAGAGCAAAGTACATTGCTCTTCATGACGGGGGATCCTGTGCTTCCAAGATTCTCTTATTAAAGGCAAATAATGTGGGCCCTGTGATGTGTCAGAGGCCTCACCGGTTAGGTCCTGATGGCCTGGGGAAGTTCATGGGGAATTAGGAGATCCATTCATATTGACTTCCTGCTTATTCCGTTGTTTGCTTTTTCCCCGTTTTTAGATTGTGTTAACAGAAATGTACTATGATGGGTTCCATCGTTCCTTTTGTGACACAGATGACCTGGAAACAGTCCATGAAAGCGACTGCATTTTTGCCTTTGAGACTCCAGAAATATTTAGGCCTGAAGGAATTCTCAGTCAGAGAGGTAAATGAGCATATGTTTCCATAATGCCACATAATAGCTGTGTGGGTCAACCGCTGTCTGCCTTTTCAGATGTCTATTACATGATAGTATCATTTTTAAAATTATGGTAAAATACACATAACACATTTTTTAAAATTTATACTAATAAAAGAGAAACATGCAAATTAACCATCACTCTGTCACTCCGCCACTCCGCTATACCCACCAATCAGAGTGACTATGCAAATTAGCCCAACAAAGTTGGCAGTTAATTTGCATATGCAGGCACAGAGTGAAGACTGAAGATGGCAGTGGCCACAGAGCTGGAGTGAGCAGGAGGCTTGAGTTACACCCGGCGACAGAGGAAGCCAAGCTTCCAGCCTGCCCTGGGCTCCGCTGGAGGAGCTGGGGGGAGAAAAAGGAGGGGCTGGGAGCAGCCGGAGCAGAGAAGCCAAGCCTCACTGGTGTGGCTGGACCAAAAGCCTGGGTCCTGGGTGCTGGAGGAAAACCAGTGCCGGCAGCCAGGGGAAGGAAGGCCTATTGCATGAATCTTTGTGCAATGGGCCACTAGTCTATGTATAAAAGGCTAATATGCAAATTATCCCCTTGGGAGTTCAGCCGGAAGACCGGGTGTTTGATCGCTTGCTATGATGTGCGCTGACAACCAGGGGCCAGCTCAGAATGAAGGAAGGCCCCAGCTGGCAGCCAGAAGATCCCAGTTGGTCCTGATCGCTGGCCAGGCCTAGGGACCCTACCTGTGCACGAATTTCGTGCACTGGGCCTCTAGTAATGGTACAGATTTTATGGTAACATATTTTCCTAGAAGAGGACAGTTCTTACTGCTTTAGGCAAGGATATTACCTTAATTCCTAACATTTCTGAGACTACTTTCTCCCTTAAGTGGCCACTTTGGCATCTTATTACAGCAGTCAAGTTATTTATATATGTATTACTGTAAATTTGTTTTGTATTATGCTTACCAAATCTGATGCTCAATTTCTAAATTCTAATACCTTTAATGTAGAAACCTTCTCTTGATACTTACTTTTAAGAAATCTGACACAAGCATGTCGCATGCTTTAAACTTTACCTGTTGTTTGCTGATAATTTATTTCCCCATCTTCTGTCTCAATAGCTTCCCCTTTCTTTCCCCAAGAACCCCTTTCCCTTTTTTCCCTCCCCACCCCCAGTCCTAAAGCAAGCACTTTCTGTCTCTATACATTTCCCTTATCTAGACATGAATGGAAGCATAGAGCATGTCACCTTTTATGACAGACTTCTTTCCCTTAGCATTATGTTTCAAGGCTCATCCATGTTGCAATGTGTATCAGTCCTTCATTCCTTTTTATGGCTGAATATTATTCCATTATATGTATAGACCACATTTTGTTTGCCTATTTATCTGTCAATAGACATTTGGGTTGTTTCTATCTTTTGGCCATTATTAAGTAGTGCTGCTGTGACCATTCATGTATAAATATTTTTTTTGAATAACCTGTTTTCATTTCTTTTGGGTTATATAACTAGGAGTGGAAATGCTAGGTCATATGGTAATTTGCCGGGGTTCTTGTTCCAGCATTAAGAAGGGTTGAGGAAATCTGGAGAAGACTGTGCATAGATTAAATAGGAGTCCAGAGACAAAAGATAATTTTGTAAGGCATTTGGGGGTCAGAGGAGCCTAGTTTAAAGGAAGCTAAGATCCCCTCGACTCAGGACCCCAAGCTTTTTATTAACACAGTTTGTCCTGAGGCGAGGCAGAGATATACACTTCAAAGGGTCAGGTTTCGTATACAGAGTCATTGTCAGAATGGAAGAATTAGCCTACGGCTGTTCAGGTGTTTGGCCAGTAGGAGGCAATAACATGTAGATTAAGATGCCCTGAGCTGTCTGGCAGCCAAGCAATCATCCCTTTTCAGGTTTGGGGAAATGCCATCAGCCATCCCCAGATTCAGCCCTGCTGTCATGCTTGAACGGGCTTCCGGCAGTAATTCTCTTTAATTTTCTGAGGAACTATCAAACTGTTTTCCATAGCAGCTACATTGTTTTTATTTCTAACAACAAATATATGAGGGTTACAATTTCTCTCCATTCTTGCCAACATTTTTCATTTTCGGTTTTTTTATTATGGCCATCCTAGTGAGTGTGAAGTGGTATCTCATTGTGTTTTTTTGTTTTGTTTTGGTTTTTTTGCCTAAGGGCAGGGGGAGCAGTTTGATTTCCTCTGTTGGGGAAGTAGGGGAGGGGAACTTCCCCAGGCACACCAACCTAAGAAAGGGGTGGTGTGCCCTCAGCAGAAGAGAGTGGCATGGTCATTCAGAAGGGCTCCTCCAAGTCCACTTCCTGGCTCAGGCGGCAGGGTGTGTGCTCTGGAGAGTCACTCCCCTTGGCATGCCAGCTCCTGCATGAATGGAGGCATAAAGAGGTATCTGCTGGTGTTCACCAAGAGGAAGGGGGAGCAGGTGCCCTGACTGCGGGAGCAGAGGACGAGGGTGGTTGACCCCACACCCATTGCCTGCCCAGGATGGTAACTGCTGGTGTGACTTTTCTCCGGAAAAGGGCCAGAGAGGCCCAGACGCATTGCTCAGTCTGATGGCTGGTCCTTTAAATGTCCATCTCAAACTGTGACTCTTCACCGCCTGCTCCTGCTGGCTTCAGAGCTGTTTTGCAGATGGTTCTGGCTGGCTTCTGTGGGGGGCTTGTCACTTACAGGGCTAGTGACGCCCAGAATGGTGGGCAGGTCCCATGGGCTGTTTTGGTCACAGGTGAATTCCGACACGCTATCAGGAATCTTCCGGTCATAGATGATCCTGGTACCTCCCGGGGTGGTGCCGAAGAGTGTGCCGCCGGGGATGGTACTGTAGTGCTGAGGGTTGGTGGGGAGTTGCATGCCGTCGCTGAGGACCACCCAGTGAGTGGCGGGGATGGCCCAGCTTGGGGTCTGGCTGCAGCTGCTGCCCCGAAGTGCCAGCAGCCAGAATGTGGCCCTCCAGCCCCTGCAGCCTCGCTCCAGCCCGCCCCCTCATTGTGGTTTTTATTTGCATTTTCCTAATGACATGAACTGATCATCTTTTCATGTGGTTGTTGGCCAGTTATATATTCTCTTCAGAGAAATGTCTTTTCAAGTCCTTCCTCTGTTTTTAAATTGGGTTGTTTATCTTTTCGTTGTTGAGTTATAAGAGTTCCTTATGTATGCTGGGTAGTAGACCCTTATCAGATATATGATTGCAAAAATTTCCTTCATTCTTAGGTTATCTTTTTACTTTTTTTGATAAGTGTCTTTTCTTTTTTATAAAAATTTTTATTTTTGAAGTTAGAGTTGATGTATAATATTATAGTAGTTTCAGGTGTATGACACCCTGAGTAGACATTATATAACTTATGAAATGATCACCTCGATGAATCTGGTACCCATCTGACAACATATGTACTTATTACAATACTAGAGGCCCAATGCATGAAGATTCGTGCAAGAATGGGCCTTCCTTCCCCTGGCTGCCAGCACCACCTTAGCTGCGGCCGGAGCCCCCTTTCCGCCTTTGCTGTGGCCCAGAGCTGCCTTTCTGCCTTCCCACGCTGCCCAGAGGCCCGGAGCGGCTGGGGGTGGTGCAGAATGCTCCCCCCCCAGCCGTCTGGCACCTGTGTATGCAAATTAACCCACCATCTTTAGTGGGTTAATTTGCATACCCACTCCTGATTGGCTGGTGGGTGTTACTAAGGTAAGGTCAATTTGCATCTTCCTCTTTTATTAGTGTAGGCTAGAAGCCCGGTGCACAAAAATTTGTGCACTTGTAGGGGAGGGGAGGTCCCTCAGCCCGGCCTGTGCCCTCTCGTACTCTGGGACTCCTCGGGAGATAACGACCTGCTGGTTTAGGCCTGCTCCCGGGTGGCAGAGGGCAGGCCCAATCCCTAGGTGCAGCCCCTGGTCGGGAACAGAGCAGGGCCAATTGGAGAGTTGGGGCGCTGCCCCCTGTCATGCACAGAGCAGGGCAGATGAGGAGGTTGCGATGCCACCCTCAGTCACGCTCAGGGTAGGGCCGATTGGGGGTTGGGGTACCGCCCCCTGTCACACTCAAGGCAGGATCGATCGGGGGGGTTATGGCTCTAACCTGTCACAT